ATTCCAGCCACAGAAAACCTCCCTAAGAAAACACAAAGTGCAAACAAATGGCCCCGCCCACAGTTTCCACAGCCTCTGGCAGTTGCTGTACTTGAGGAGGAGGGTGGGGTGAGAACAGGAAGTACCCATACCACCATCTCCCTTAATGCAGAACCTATGACCTCACAAATGACTTTCTTGGTAAATAAAAATCTTCTGATCACATGTGGGGGCATACCAGGCTGTTTCATTTTCCCTTCTTAATGTCTTAAAAAAAAAAAAAAACAAACTACAAACTCAAATATTTTGGGTAGTCTCATCCCCATTGTGAGCTCAGATAGGGAATACACAAGAGGCAAAACTTGCTTAGTTTAAGCATCTGTGTATGACTCTGGTACAAAGGTATCAGCTTGTTTTGTGAGCCTCTAGCTTGGGCATGGTTGGCCCCGGACGAGCTCCAGCAGCTGGGTTTTATTTGGGTTTGCTAGGCCACCCCTGAGCCTCCCCAGAGTAGTCCCAGCCCACAAGAGTTTAATTTCTCCTTAAGTGTTCAATTCAAGGTGACAGCTCCTAACACATTGGTCCTCTGATCAACTTAAGTCAGCCAGCTATCAGTGGGGAAGTGTCTGCAGAGCCCAGGGTGATCGTGACTTAGGTTATCTATAGGTCCTGTACCCACAGCTCCCACAGACCAAAGCTGCCAGGACCTTCATAGGCATGGCAAGTTTTGGAGCAATGTATAGAAGAAAGATTCTGGTTCTGCAGGAGCAGAAGAGAAAAGCCCCATGCTAGGGAGAGATGCCAGCTTGTTTTAGAGTCCTAGACAGTGCTCGGGTGTCCTTGGCATAATATGGTGCTGGTATCTCTGTCAGCATCTCTGTTTTCTGTCACCATGCACAATCCGGGGCCTGTCTCCAGTCCTGACAGTGTCTTTTCAGATCAGGTTAGTGCCAGCCCAAAGACCAAGTCAGCTTCCCAGCACACAGCCCCTTTGTTTGAAGTCCGACCTTTTGTCATTAATGCACTCAGTGGCTATTTAAATCTGACAGTGAGTGCAGTATCTGTTTCCCCATCAAGAGATCATTGACAATATTAATAACTCACGACTTTGCCTCATTCTCCAAGTGCTGACACCTAGCCACAGACTCCTGCGTTCATCAAACAGCCCTCTCTCGTCAGGATGTCTATACACAGTCTTGCTTCCAGGTCCGGAGAAATAGGGCAGGCCTTTAAAAGAAGTTTTATCAATGCCAACCAAAGATGTGCTAGCATGGCTCCGAATGCAGCCTCAGTCCACGTTCCAGGAACACTGTTCCCATTTGCTTGTATCGAGAGTGAAAGTTCAGCACTGAGAGAGGTGTAGAATCTTGGAATGTCTGGGCAAGTTCACCAGAGGGAGTGCAAGCAGGGCAGGCCATGGTGTGTGCACATGCCTGCCTGCCATGCAGTTTGCACATCAGGAGGACTGTGCTCTTTACGATATTTGGCAGCCTTATCCATTTCTTTTTGTAAAAATCCATGGTGTCCTGGTACTGTAGAAAGAAATTAACGCCCTTTGGACCATCCCTCCAGATTTGGGAGAGTTGCTTGTATCAGGTAGGTTTAAGACCTTGCAGGGTCTTCCATGAATCTGAGGCATACCAAGCTAGGCCATAAAGGAGGCAGAATGTGCCCATCCCAGCTCATAGACCACCAGGGTTCTGGCATTGGTGACAATGTTAGTACAATTCTAGGCTCTACAAAATACAATAAAGGGAACAGCTCTGTGTTAATAGCTCAAAGAATGTGTCACAAGAAAGATCCGAATGAGGTTTCAAACAAGCTCAATATTTCCAGGCACTAGATAAATACTGAAAGCAAGGAACTGGGGACTAGGGGCATGGAAGGACAGAAAAGTCACGCCACGCAGGAAAAATGACCCCTAATAAAGCTGTGCATGGCAACACAGCAAGAAAAGAACCAGGTCACAAATGATGTCACCCTGTCCTGCTGCCAATTCTGAGATCACCTAGAACCCCAGTAACTTTCAAGTTTGCCTCTGGCTGTTCAAAGCAGGGCATATCAATACTACCTTTAAAAGTTTCTACAAATTATTTTAACCTGTATTTAAGAATTAAGTTTAGGGAATTGGGGGGGGGGGGGAGAGATGCTTGGTAAAGTGTGTGCCATGCAAGCATGAAGACCTGAGTTTAATCCCCAGTGCCTAAATAAATAGGCAGTGGACATCTGTGGACATCTGTATTCTCAAAGATGGGCAGAGCAGAAAGAACCTGGGGGTTGCTGGCCAGTCAGTTAGCCGAATCTGTGCACTCCAAGTCAATAAGAGACACAACAAGGGTGGACAACAACTGAGGAAGACAGCTGATGTCAACATGTGACCTACACACACACACACATACACATGTGCGCACATGCACACACACGTGTGTGCGCACATACACACATAAATACACACATACAGGGAAAGAGAGAGAGAACACAAATTCATGAGACACAAAATCTGTTCTACTAACATCTGATGTGAAGAATAGAGCTGATCTCAAATCGGCGAAGAATGATGTGCTGACATCACTCTGTGGAGCTGGTGAAATGCATAATCCTATGCAGCGGTAGCAATCATCACAGCAAGTTTGTGGCTCATGGATTGGGTTTTATGGCTCTTTCCTTGCCTTGCCTTCTGTGTACTTGAGAGAATTAAGTCTATTTGTATACAGGCAGCTATGTGCAAGTAGATTTTAAGTTAGTTCTTCTAAAATTGGAAAGAAAAAAAGGAGGTGGTAAAAAAGCAATAAATATTTTCTTGGGAAAACACTTTTTGTTTTTAATAATCTTATAGAGTTTTCACAATGATTATAGCCAATGTCTTCTGGGTATTTATTCTGTAGTATTGCAAATCAAACCTGAGACTTCACAATCTAGGCAAGCACTGTTCCTTCATTTACATGGCTAGCCTTTGGTTTATATTTATTTATGTTTTGGAAACAGAGTCTCACTATCAAGCCATGTTAGACTCGAACTCACCATCCTTCTGCTCAGTCCACCCAAGTGCTAAGATTACAGGCATGCACCTCCAAGCGCAGAACTTTTGTGGGTTTTATAATATATAAGGAGAACTTGATTAGAACCCTCTCTAATACTGTGTTTCACAGTGCTGTAGCCACAAAAGGCAAGTTTTCTTTTTTTTATTTATTTATTAAAGATTTCTGCCTCCTCCCCGTCACCGCCTCCCATTTCCCTCCCCCTCCCCCGATCAAGTTCCCCTCCCTCAACAGCCTGAAGAGCAATCAGGGTTCCCTGCCCTGTGGGAAGTCCAAGGACCACCCACCTCCTTCCAGGTCTAGTAAGGTGAGCATTCAAACTGCCTAGGCTCCCACAAAGCCAGTACGTGCAGTAGGATCAGAAACCCATTGCCATTGTTCTTGAGTTCTCAGTAGTCCTCATTGTCCACTATGTTCAGCGAGTCCGGTTTTATCCCAGGCATTTTCAGACCCAGGCCAGCTGGCCTTGGTGAGTTCCGGATAGAACATCCCCATTGTCTCAGTGTGTGGGTGCACCCCTCGCTGTCCTGAGTTCCTTGCTCGTGCTCTCTCTCCTTCTGCTCCTGATTTGGACCTTGAGATTTCAGTTCGGTGCTCCAATGTGGGTCTTTGTCTCTGTCTCCTTTCATCGCCTGATGAAGGTTAATATTCAGGAGGATGCCTATATGTTTTTCTTTGGGTTCACCTTCTTATTTAGCTTCTCTAGGATCATGAATTATAGGCTCAATGTCCTTTATTTATGGCTAGAAACCAAATATGAGTGAGTACATCCCATGTTCCTCTTTTTGGATCTGGCTTACCTCACTCAGGATAGTGTTTTCTATTTCCATCCATTTGTATGCAAAATTCAAGAAGTCATTGTTTTATACTGCTGAGTAGTACGCTAATATGTATATATTCCATACTTTCTTCATCCATTCTTCCATTGAAGGGCATCTAGGTTGTTTCCAGGTTCTGGCTATTACAAACAATGCTGCTATGAACATAGTTGACCATATACTTTTGTTGTATGATAGGGCCTCTCTTGGGTATAAAATGGGGCACTGAGCTGAACAGAGAATTCTCAACAGAAGAAGTTCAAATGGCCAAAAGACACTTAAGGTCATGCTCAACTTCCTTAGCGATCAGGGAAATGCAAATCAAGACAACTTTAAGATACCATCTTACACCTGTCAGAATGGCTAAAATAAAAATCACCAATGATAGCCTTTGCTGGAGAGGTTGTGTAGAAAGGGGTACACTCATCCATTGCTGGTGGGAATGCAAACTTGTGCAACCACTCTGGAAAGCAGTGTGGCGGTTTCTCAGGAAATTTGGGATCAACCTACCCCTGCACCCAGCAATACCACTCTTGGGAAAAGGCAAGTTTTCTAAGGAGTCACAGATTAGCTATGGAGTCGAACTAAAGAGGAAATGCGTTTTCACACGAGAGGTGAGCTGGGGATCCCTAAGGTCAGTGGTCCTTGTGACTTGCCTTAGTTTTCAGTAAGCATGGCCTCTCTTCTTTAATCACCCAGCATGGGCTTGAAGTCCCCTGGGATTTGGAAAATTCTCTCTGGAAGTTAACAATATTGATTTCCAATAAAGGACTTCAAAAGAGTCCCACCCTAGGAAGATTACCCTTGAGTTGGATTCATCTGATTTAAGCTTAATTTTCCATTCTTAAAAACTAGGCTAAGTAAAACTGGAGAGGAGGGGGTCAAACTATATTTTGGAAAACTATTTGTCAAATTATAAAAGTTCTTAAAATGAGGAAATCACCCAGAAAACTTTATTCCTAGGAACCTATACTTAGTAGTGACATTTCATTTCAAAAGCCACCTCTGAGAACAAGAAGGTACAGTCTTTGCCATCCGAGGCTTAATCTGTTTTCTCCTTGCCATCAGATTAGCGATCATAGTGCATGGCTGTTAATAACGGCTGGATTTCTGAACTGTATGAATTATGCCACCGGTAATGATGTGTGTCTCTTTCTGTTCACAGGTATCCTGGCGAAAGGTCGCTATTTTTACTATGGAAGAAACTCAGAGGGTAATAGGTTCATCCGAGATGACCAGCTCTGAAGCTAAATTCTACATGCCTTAACCTATGTCATGATAATAAAATGGAAAGGCAAGAAAAACCAGAGTCCACATTGTGTCTCTGTAAGACGGCTTTCAGTACCGAGCGCCGACTTTGCCAGGCCTGTCAAGATCATCCAACTGCCGTAGACTGAATAGTCACAGAAAGATTGACATGATTGCCCTTAAGCAGGCCTTATCCACCAGGGTGACAGACAGCAGTGGCGCAGCACCCGGGCTGACAGCGTGAACACCATGATAGATTGCCTGGTCTCTTCGTTGCTCACAGGGGGACGGGGCTCACACCTGGGGCCTCCTCAGACATGCTCACTGGCTGCAGTTAGTGAAAGAGGCACTCCTGAGATCGCCTTCTGAGTCCTCCGGTATCTCTGTGCTTTGGGTTTCTTCTCAGTGGAGTAGCCATGGTACAGAGGAAGGCCGTCCACTTTAGCCTGCAGATTAGGCATTACATTTAGTCAACTCACACACATTGTTTTCTATTGTTGGCAATGTACTTTCATTTGGAGCCATCATTCAAAGGACACAACTTCTCATCCAAGTCATCTATATATTATATGTGGCTTCATGATACAACTCCTGAATTCTGTAAATCCCTGACTACCAAAGCAGTTTAGTTCAAAATCTGCTTGTCTTGAACATGTCAGTCACAGAGTAAGCATATTTCCTGGCGCAGGGTTTAGCAACACCAGAGATTTTTCCTTTGGTTCTAGCCATGCGGTCAGCTATGCCTATGGCTACATTTACCCTACAGGCTGCACTGTCCCTTTGGATGCTAGTTAATGTAGTGAAATAATGAGAGATGGGGCAATGGGCCAGGAGGTTGGAAACCAAATGGAAGGTTGTGGAAATACCCAGCAGACCAGACAGGTTTGAGAGAACACAAACCTTTAAGGGTTCTTTGAGAAACTCTCAGGAGTCATATCCATAGTTGATGAGACAGTTCCAGTTCTTTCTGTAGCTATGGCTGTTTCCTAGCACTGGGATCACAGGGAAAGCAAGCACAGCCATGCTAGCCAAATGGCTGTTACTTTGTCTACCTCACGCTGTTGGGGACACGCTGCTTTAGAAGGCATCTGAAAGACTTCTTGCTCTTGACACAATGGCGTTTACCCTTCCTTCTCGTAAATATGCCATGTGTTCACTTCCCTGAGTCTCCTAGGTAGGGCAGTGAAGATTGAGATAGAATCCCTCCAAGTCATGGATAGTAAGAGGGTTACTAGTGGAGAGTCGGTCACTGCAGACTCAGATTCCCTAAGCTGCTGGAGATGCACCCTTCTTTCTCAGATCTAATCCGTTTACATAGCCTTTGCCCCCTCAGTCAACACAGCCTTGGAATAACACATATTCAGGCTGGCAAGAGTCCTGCATAGAGATTACACAGCATCCATTCATCATCTGTTAGGAGCAGCTAACATTAAAGTCCTTGAGACCATTAATAACTAGAGATTATACAAGCCACTCATAACCAGCGTTGAGTACCTTCTCTGTTTGATCTACACAACAGCACCCAGAGCTAATGGTTTCCATTAGCGCCATCAGGTCCCACCTTGCCTCTTTGTTTAGTGGCATCAGAACATTTGGTCCATTGCATATTATGGGAAGCAAGGCTCTGAGCAAGGGCGGTGAGACAAGTCTGATGTCACATCCAATCTAAGGGCACATATATCCCTGTCTTCATAAAAGGCTTTAACCCTGCCTCGAACAATAAAAAAGCACTTGCGAACTGACCACAGAATTTTTCCATCTTTATTTTTCTTACTTGTTTACTTTTCTTAATGTCAGAACCATTTGTATCATGCGCAGGAATGTCTCCCTCAATGTGAGCTCTGGAGGCGGAAGAAAAAAAAGAAAAAGAAAAAAATCGGAGTGAGTTATTGAGCACAGTGTTTCCCTCTCTTTGGGTTGTTTGTTTTCCTCCAGAATGTTGTAATAACTTCAATTAAGATTAGCTTTAATTATAGCTTACGTAAAGGCCATCATGGCAGTATATTCATCTAACTGATGGAATTATAGTGAGTTTTGTTTCTCTTAAGTAGGGATGATGATAATGAATTATTGTCGGGTTGTTTACAACCCCATTGTTGAGCAACATCTGCCCTTCTAGAACTGGCCTGTGGTCTGCACTGGCAGCGGAGAAAGCCTTGAGCCTTGTTTATTTAAAATCTGTGGGAATTTCCTAAACCTTGTTTTTCAGAGTTGGAAATTACAGGGTAATAAATTCATCTGAAGTCCAGACGTGTCTTATCCGTCCCTTGACACCTGTTTGTCTTCCTCACTCTGCTGCAAGCAGCCTGTTCTTTGGGGAAATCATTCTTGGACAACCCTGTCTACCCTTCCCAGGCCACTGGTCTGAGTCCAGGGACCAGGGAGATGCACGGAATTCTGGAGTTGTCTGTTTCTTCTGCAGGTCAGGGAGATGATCTTGCTCCTAAATAACATAACTTAGAACACTTTGTTCCTGCGGGAGTAATGTTTTAGATTGGGGGAAATCCTATTAAAATACTATTGTAATCCTTTGCTTTACCGTTCTCAGCCTCACTCATAAAAGCTCTACTGTTTGCTGCTTTAAATAGAAGCGTATTACAAAAGACCATCACTTGATCAGGCTGCGGATCTCCATGTTGTGTGCTTTTGCACATACTCATGTGTATTAAGGAATAAAAGAAAGCACACTACAGTCTGAGTGAAAGGTGTGTGTGTGTGTGTGTGTGTGTGTGTGTGTGTGTGTTTCTAATCAAGCTGTATCTTCACCATTTCAAGGGAAACCGTCTTCCTTGCTCTTTCTAAGAAATGGTCTGGATGTCTTTCTCTTCTTAGTGATCATGAAGAATAAAAACATCTATGAGGCTCTCTCTGTCAGAACTGTAACGTGACTCAGAACTTTCTACTTGCAAGAGCAACTTGCGTCAGAGATGTGTCACTGCCTGATGCCCAGGGAAGATGCTAAAGGGCTTGCTGCTACTCTCCACCGTTGCCCATCTGCTGCACTGCATCCAATGTGACCTTCGCTACTGTTTATTCCAGTTTTGTTTCCAAGAAGCCACCTTCCCTGAAGAAGGGTGTTACCATGACTTGCCTCTGGTGTCTCCACTTTGTGTGGCTACAGTACTATAATCTACCCTGAGTAAAAAATCAAAAAGAGACCAGAAAAGCATGAAGCATGCTGGTCACTTGTTTGTGTGACAGCCAGGTCACTACATCTTGACTTAATACCCTCGTGTTACTTATGTTGCTTCTGCCACTGTGTTGTTTTCTACATGTTTCACCGGGTTTTTACTTAGTGTGGGTGCACACCCATGTGACTGCAAGCCACTGTTTGTCAGAGGAGGTCAGACAGTCTCCTAGACCCAGGCTTCTTCCTCTACCATGCAGGACTTGTGGATGAATGCAGGGGCTCCTTCTAGTGGCGGGCATCTATCAATTCCCAGTGAGCCACCTTTCCAAAACATTGCCTTTCAACATTTGCAGAACACCACAACACAGACATCTTGTTTTTCTACAGATTTCTCTGGAATTTCTCAGTATTGGTGGTGCTCCATTAGGTGATAATAGCATAAATGTAATTCGGTTTCTCTGTGGTAAGAGTATTAATAAATCGTGCCATTTGTAAACATTAACAGACCAGTGTGTGAACATTCTTCTGAAGGAAACCAGGATGTGGCCAGAGATTAAACCTACTCAGGAAAGAGAGTTATGCTAGGAAAGAGGGGTGATATAGAGTATGTATTACAGAAAGTGGGACAGGGTGATATGAATGGCAATAAAGAGGATTATGCCAAGGAAGAGCATGGAAATAGCCCAGATGTGGCATCTTAGTGGAGAAGGGTTGGCTCAGAATTGAGAATAATGAGAGAAGAGAGGAAAGACAAATTTCTGCCCACCAAAGATTTTCCCATGGAGGAACATTTCTCTGCAAAATGAAGTCCCGTTTGGTATCACTGGCGCCCACTGGCCATACTCAACAAGTTTCCCCACGTGGGATAATAAAGAATGTGGAGCATATGTATTAGGTGCCACACAGACACATGTGCCTATGTGTGATGGCACACAGAGCCACCACTGACTGGTTCTAACTTTTGTCTAATGTGGAAGCCCACAGTCTCGAATCTATTCCACTGAGTAAAGTTTGGAGAGTTCAAACGTATCCTTGCTCCTCAAGGCCAAATAAAATGGGATGTTTGGCCAAAGTTGTGGCTACTAAATGTCTTGCTCCTCAAATACCAGACAACAGGATGTTTGACTTAGAGTGTGGTTACTAGGTGTTTTGAGATGTATGGAGGTAATTACACTTGCTTGTTCCTTGTATCATGGAAGGGAAGTCTTTTGCCTTCCCCTTTTGATTGGGGTATACAAGGGCTATGAGTAATACAGTTGAGGATGTTACACTGGCCCCTCCTGACTCTATCTTCTGTCTCTTGTCTATTTTTTTCCTCAATCCTCACTCCCCCTTTCAGGAATGTGTGAACAAGCTTGCCAGTCCAACAGTGTAGCTGCTCACAAAACCTCCCATCCTAAGTTAAGTTTCCCTAGACCAACTAAAAGTGAAAGAAAACAGTGACTGGGCAGGAAGATGAGAGAGAAAGACTTATATAATATAAAGACTTATATTATTGTGATTCTTCAAAGACTCATTAAGTCTAGAAGTATATGGATTCCTAGACAAAGATGCCGCAGAAATGACAAAGATAGTTAAGACAGCAAGTGAAGATGTCTGTGCGTGCAAAGATGCTGACAAAGATTTGAAAACCTCCTAATCCTAGATGGGAAAATTATCTCACAGATAGTCCAGATGATATTTAAGTTCGTTTTTGGATATCAAACTTAACTTGAAGAACACTCTAGAAAGTATTTCTTGTCACATCAGTTACTCAATGTAGCCAACTATTTTTTTTGAAAGATAAGGTCTTACAACCACCTAGTTTTAGAGATCCAGTGCCCTCTTCTGGCCTCGACATATTGTTTACATGTGTTTATATAGGCGTACACACATATGCATAAAGGAAAATAAATATTTCTTAAAATAA